TGGTATACAGAGTATATTGTTTGGAAATCCCACTTTGAACACCTCACTAAATCCAGCCTAGACATCATCCCGTCAAGTAGATCAATCAGTATAATGACTATGAATAACCTATAAATCTTATTTGTAGATTCATAACAACAATTATGAACATAAACATACGTTACACTTGAAATAAAATAAGTGTTGCTTAACTTACAAAGATTTTTGCGAAAATAGGGAAATTGCGCAGACAGAATCTCAACCTAAATACTTCTTTTCATCAGGCTCCTGGCTAGCGCAAAGCCTTGCTAAAAAGTTTGGAAGTCCAGAAAAATTCGGACTCAAAGTGTGAAAGAAGACCAGAGAAATATGGGTTTGAGTTGTGAGAAAATGAGGCCGGAAGCGAACTAATTTATAGACCCGGGAAGGATGCGCACCATGCACCATGTCCTCTATGTGTCGTGCACAATGTCGGAAGAGGTGATGTAGCATCTGTCGAGTGGTGACATGTGTTGGCAGCTCGTGGAAGGTCAGAGGCATGTCGCGCTTGTTGTTTGTGTGCGCGGTTCCGCGCGAAAAATTCTATTTTCTTTAAAAACTCATATCTTCTTTATACGAGCTTCGTTTTCGACATATTTTATATCTACATGTAGCTATCGACGAGATCTACAACTATCATTTAGACTCCGTCGGCTAATTTTGAAATTATTTTTAAGTTATATTTTTAACAGACTTAGACTGTTAAATCCGTTAATAATTCATAACTCTTTCGTGTGATGTCCTTTCTCGACTGTCTTTATATCGACGAAATCCTATTAATGACATCTTCGATTATTGTTTATATTGTTTCGGCTAACAATCAACCCTTCTAAATTTCGATACCAGTGTTGCACACCGTTGTGCTGAAACTTTGAAAAGTCATAACTTCCTCTCACGATATCATATTTGAACGTTATCTATATGCACGTTCTCGGTTTTACGATTACTATGAATTTTTTTTTAGATTACTTAGGTTAAAAAGCAACTTGGCTAAAATTCACTTTTTATGACGTGCACAGTCGTGCCGGTTTAATCGCGAAACTTCGAAGAAGCATAACTGCTTAATGAAGTCGGATTTCAGCGTTCTTTATATGTACAAAATCATTATCACATATACTATAAATTTGGTTAAGGTTAACTATCCTAATTAACCTTCTATCAAAATATCGTTTTTTCGCATATTCTATTTTAATTGTCTAGCCCGAAGTTGCAGTCATTACACATGGTCATCAGGATGGAGTGAATCCATACACATATAGACACCCTCAAAATCATATCTAATAACCCCTAGTTTCTTCATACCCTTCAATTGGGTTTTATATATGGAGTGTGTTTCAGACCCTATCTCATTTGTCTTGGAAAGAGGAACTCGTACTACTTGATCAACTGTAAATTTTGGTAACGACCTAAATTTTCCTATTTTGCTACCGAGGTTAGTTCACAGTTAAGTATGGTTGTTAAGTTTCTTTTGTCATGAATAATGTTAACTTTATGGGGTTAAAGTGCAAGAAAATGATTCTTGATCATATACATATGCATGCTATATTTTCTATTTTGTCACCTTTGAATGAAACTAGGATATGCATGCTAGATGTTGATTGATTAAAAGGTGTATCTCATTATATGTTATCACATATTGTTATGTATACTTGTATTGATAGGTGTGTGTTTGAAATATGTAGTGTGCCATGAATTAATCATAATAATAATTCACTTGCACGATTACATGAGAGAGGACTAATTAATTATCTAATTAATTAATTAAACGGGGAATACAGATAACGAGGTTAAAAAGGGTAGTAACCTAACCAAGGTACGTGCCCTTACAAGATATCACGGTGGAAGGATATTTTTGGAGGAAAAGAGCTTAATCCAAAGTAAACATCGAATGGTTTTCTAGTTGACCATTTCGAGGCATGGTTCCGGTGCACTTGGTGTACGGGACCCGGAGTGATGTTGGCTACTTGGAGACGTCGGATCAAACATCACGTTTGGGTAGGGGAAAGTGTTTAAAGTACCATGGTACCACCCTTGAATGACAATTCATTGTTTTGTACATGCAAAGTCAGAGTAGTGAAGGCGTCGAACCAGGGACAGTGCTACGGGTGAGATTCGCACCCCATTTAGTGCACTGGGTCGCCATGTCACGTTAGTAGCAAACATGGTCTTTCTTTGGGGATTTCAGTGATGTATTAGACCCTAGTTACCGAGGGACATTAATAGTAATTAAAGTGAAGCAAACAAATTAATAATTACTGCGATGAAAGAATGTATGGATTAATATATACACGTATATATTAATACCTATCGATATATGTTGCATGGATTGATGTGATTGCATGACTTCACATGATGTATATGTAATCTTTGTTTCCATGTTTATGTGCTTAAGATTGATTCACTGTGTTGCTGTGGACACTTGTTTCTTGACTGTTGATGTAGCTTTGCATTGGTACTGGTAGCTTGATTATTGATGGTATGATGATCTTATGGGTAGTTGTAGACCTTTGATTAGTAGTGATGATATCAGTTTGAGACTTCTTGGGATGTTTCATTTACCTTTGGTTTTGACATTTGTTATGGGTTAGTTTTTACAACTTTGGATATTGACTGACTTGTTTTGAAAATAAAGTAACATTGATGATGTTTTCATACAATTTAAAAATAAGTCTTCCGTTAATGTTTTCTGATACAAATTAGTTAAAAATAAAAGAAGGTTTTTTGGTGAAAAATCATGGTGTTACAATTTTGATTTTCATGAGTTTTGTCCTTTGTTTAGTTGCAAGATTTGATCATATGATATACATCATCATGTAAAGCATTGAGATGATGGATTCGAAAAGAATGTCAAAGTTTGCCTCGTATATCCCCATTTTCCAATAGGTAGATAGGCTTAAGATATGAACAAGTTGGTTCGGCTGGTTTATCAATATCTTTGACAAAAATATCACAATATGCATTGCTCATAGGTATATAAGATCCTTCGAGGTTACAAATAGAGGATACGTTGTTTTTCCGATATGGAAAATGGGCATCATCAACGTTCTAAATGGTGTGAGGTGTGGCGTTGCGTGGCGGCAAGGTCAAACCCAAATTTTATGAGCCATGGCGAGTCATAGTGTTTTTCAAATGGTGACTTAAGACGTCAAGTTGGGGCTAGCCCATTTGGCTAATAAGGAGGTTTCTAATCTAACAACTAACTAGGAGGTCCGAGTTAAATCCCAGGCAGATGAGATATTTAAATTATTTGTCGTTTCCAAAAAAAACTTGAGACGTCAATTTTGTATGTATAAAAAATCACATAATTATAGATTTATATAAAATATATCAAATTTTTAGAAGAGTTATATCAGCCCCTAATAACAAAAAAGTTAACAAAAACTTAATTGTAGCATGTTCGATATGAAGAAAAAAAACGTGCCTTGAAAAAACTTGTTCCATAACGCCTTTGCATTGTTACACCTAACATCGCCGCTATGCAGGTTCCGGGACAACATAGACATGCCATAACGTGTCTTTTAGAACAATGGTCAATTCGAATAAAATTATAGGCATTTGGTATGTGATGAACACATGACGATTTAAATGTGAAACCGAGAAAGTTGATGAGTTTAGAATATAAGTAACTAGATCACATTAAATAGCTTGGCTCTTAAAATCAATTATTTCTCTTGCTCTAGGTTTGATACAGAGTGAAATCTCTATCGAGAAATTAAATATTCTCCTAAATTTTATTCCTACCCATCCTCCTACCATATCAAATGTTGACATGTGTCATATTTAATAACATATTTAATGAATTTATTATTAATTTATTCCACTTGTCATCATTTAATATGGTTGGATGGTTGGAGGATAAATAAGAATAAAATGTAGAAGGATATTTAATTTCTCATCTCTAAAACATTACAATTTATTTTTCAACAGCGTTAACAAGTTTTACACTGGAAATTTTGTTAGTAATTTATAGTTGTTGAACATCTGAATTGTTGAAATATTTTAGTACGATGAAAAAACAAAATTACTTCATTGTTTTTACAATTATTTTTTTAAAGTCATGTAACTTCTCTTCCTAAATAACAATTGTAAAATATAACTTTAAGAACTCTTTTTATGGAATCATCGTGTTTATGATTTTTTTTTCTAATATACGATATATATTATATATTTGTATCTTTGTTCACATTTAAATACCTTAGAAGTTTAAACTTATTCATGCTTAAAAGAGTTTAAGTTTCTTTTTATAATTTTTGACTTCTTTTTAAAATATAAAACTCCAAATTCAAATTTTACTTGAAGACTTCAAGTATATTTTAACAAAAAAGTTATACATAAATTTATGAATGTACTTAATTATTTTTTTTAAATCAATGGCATGTTTAGATAAATCATATTTTATATAGTTTTGCATGTTTTAAAAGCTTCCAATTATTTTTATCGAACACGAATATAAAAATAAAAACTTCAGCTTCCAACTATCAGCTACCGGTTTTCCACTGCTAGCTAGTTTTAGTTTTGTCGAATAAGTGCTAAAAGTGCCAAAAAAAAAAAATCTAATTTCTCATATCTAAAGGTGTAAAAAAAAAGTTTCATATTTTCGCACTTATAAGATGTTCAACCACCTCAACTTTTTCATACTTCAACGAACAAAGAAGTTTTGTATTTTCTTCATACTATAAAAGCATGAAGAAGATTATATATATATTTTTTAATTCTATATTCTTCTACGAACATTGTTTAAACCACTATAAATGCATACAAAAAACCGTGTATAATTTCTATAATTGTTGTAGATAAATAGAATGAAAGATTCTAACCTCTACATGTTTTTTTTATTGAAATATATATTCTGATAGGAAAGGGATATATATATAAATTATAAAGTTCATTTTATTCCTCTATGCATGTCATAACCACAAACAGATATTGCAGGGGACCCAAATATAAATCGTCATATAAAAGCTTACGATATAAATTGATATACCCTATCTTCATTCATCTTATATAATTGAAGCAAAACCAGATTCAAAACCATATAACATCTTAAATAACTGTATGCAGTCATGATCATATGAGCGATAAAGAATATAACTTGTAAAAAATATAACCTTATTCTCCTAAAATTAGCTTCCAAGTAGTTATGAACAAAAAGTTTGGATGAAGTAATATCAAGTCATTTATCAAGCTCCACAGCCTTATCTGCACCCATCGATCTATAAGGCGCTATGTTGATCGTTGTTCTCAGATGAAGCAGTATCTCATTGTCAATGCAGTCATACCTAAAGTCAACAAACCAAAAGTCAAAACATGACAGATCAGGTTATACTGTGTTTGACACGCACCGGACTAACACATGACAATGAGACAAAAATTGTAATTTTTATCTGATTCACATCAGTAGACAGTAGATAGTAGACAGATGTACTCACAAATTCTTGCAAAGGGCATCAGTAACCTTGGAAAGCGCAATAATCCGCATTCTCGAATCCATAACTTTGTCCTCGGAAAACTCCTCAAACTCTTGTTCCAAAAAATGTGATAATTTCTCAACATGCCCTTCAAGTTGCTGCTGCTGATCTTCAAACAAGTTCTGTTTAATATTCTTTTCCAAATTTGTCATTTCATCGCTAAGAAACATGTCACTAAACATGTAAAACGCAAACGGATACGAATAAGAAAGAATCCGCCTTGATCTAAACAGCCTTTTAGCCCCATTTCTCACCCAATCATAATCCTTTATTTCCAATTCCCTGGCTTCCATTTTCACTATTTTCCTCTCTAACTTTTCCTTCATAATGATTTCAGCCTTTAAGGAATCCGTATGTGCTTTGAATCGACTATGATAATGAGAATAACGCACGATTTCTATTTTTGCACGTTTTGTGTTTGCTATTTGTTCTTCATTGAACCTTCCACATGTGTGGTTAGCTATACTATCCCATGTGTGTTGTATACCCGTTGCTCCACCACATAACCAACTACAAAATCAAAATCAAGCTTCTCTTGTTACTTTTTTTATTTAGGGTTTTAATGTTAAAAAGAAAAAAAAAGGAAAAGATTCTAACCAAAATGGTTGACCACATATACATCGAACAAGGTTGCATCCACCATTTTTTTCAACTGGTTTATGACATTTTGGACAAGTTTTTGTATTAACTGTGATCCAATTACATGTCTCTGACTCATCTTGACATTTTTTTGACCAAAGTTCCCACATTTGACATGAACATGGAGAATGTGCTTCTGAAGAACAACTAAAACAAAACTGAACACCACAAGCACATTCAACCTCACAATACTCATCATCTTCAACACGAATGGCATTTCCACAATGTGGGACACTCGGACACCATTTTACCCTTTTGTTATCTTCAATATATGACTCCAAAAGGTATCTTTCAAACTTTTCAGCCAAATTAGGATCCTTTTTGCTCACATAATTTCTGATTTTATCCTCATCACAAACCACACTGCATCTAGAAGCCATGCAACTAATTCGCCTACTTTGCCCCTCGTTTATCTTCACAACAAAATGCTCTGTCCAACCTTAAAAAGAAAATGTAAAGTACATTACTTAAGTTTTGTCCCTATTAAATTCTTTTGGGAAAGAAAATTTGTACTTACAAGTGTTGCAAAAATAATGGCCACAATCCATTGTAGTCATTTTATAGAAGGGGACTTCCTCCAAGCATATTTCACAAAGTACAATGGAAGATCGATGCTTTGAAGAAACATTGGAATCATTGGGTACCATTACACATGCTTCAGTATAAAGCCTATCTTTTCCATTTTCTACAAGCACTTGAAAGACTTTATCAACATCCCATCTATGATGTATAAGTAGAGTCCTTGCTTGATGTTCCCTTAAAGATAACAAGTCCATTACTCTTTGTAGATCTTCCCTCTACACAATGTAAACAACAGAATCACAAAATTACTAAAAACCACCATGTGTAGCCAATTTTAAAATGACATAGATAACATGCCTTACCTGTGCAGTCGATACACACTCTTTTGTGATAACCTACATGTTGGTCAAAAAGAAGAACTACATTTAAATTTATAATAGAACAGATACTATGATCAACTTCTTCATATTGAAAATGATCAAACTTTTTGTGGTTTTAGAGATTGATAACTGCCTTAAACTTAAGCTAATCAATATGTTTATGGAAATATGATGGAGTTCACAAACTAAACTTTTTTGGCTCAATTTTTAAACTTTAGAAGTATTAGATAGAACACGATTATTCAAAAGTTGACTGCTTTTCTTGGGAGAAAGTTGATCTATGTACACAGATTGCAAAACGTATGAATGATCTTCGTTACATTTTTTCAAAAAGAATCAAAATTTCATAGGTTTAATGAAGCAATTCCAACCAGAATCACAAAACGTTAAAGGGTACAAACGACAAACCCTAAACTTTGATTCTTAGGTTTCACAAAAACAGGGGATTAGAAAAGAACGCTGAAATAAAACCTTTGTTTTCGTTTTTAATTTCCATTGAATGAAAAGAATCTTCACAAATATTATAATAAACATAAGAGAAACATTAGCTGCTTGATTACCTTACAAGACGAACCAGTGCGGCTCGTTAAAGCAACATCTGCACGACGATCACAATCATCATGGTCATCAAAGTCACAGTAATCGTCCTCATCGCAATAGTCGCCATCATCGCAGTAATCGCTATCGTACGGATCCATGTCTATGTAAAATATAGTTTTTTACAACGACCAAGTCAATTTTCGTGCAGAAGGGGAGGGGAGAGAGCTTGGTATGGAAGCAAGAAGCCAGAGAGATTTAAGGGAAGCTGTTGCTTCTGTTTTACATCTTGCGATTGGATTGTTTGAGAAACAAAAGAGGCAATGTGTGTAGTGATTAGGAAAAGGTGTAGGAGGTGGAAGAAGATTTGGGGAAGTGGGGATGAATTTCGGCACTTCTTTTATAGGTTTAGATGAGTGTGGTAGACCCCCATTGGAGAGTGGAGACGTCGAAGTTGTGAGTTGTGAAAGTTGTGATCGCGTAATAAGTAGAGACTAGAGAGAGTCACCACATCAAATGATCAAATAAATCGGATGGTTTGTTTGATTTCTAACCCAACTGGTTTTCTTATTTCCTTATAAAAAAAATAGTGTTAAATAAGAAAATTAAAAAACTATTTTATATTCATTTAGAGTCCAAGAAAAAATATTTTATTAATACTATGTCAATTAAATTCCTTTCTTTTTATAAAATGTTTAACCTTGTTCTCTTAAAATTTACTTCTATAAAATGTCTATAATATATTTTAGTTTTTTCAAGGTGTTGTGTTTAATGTGGGGGGTTTGGCATTAAATATAATGTTTTTTATTAATATAATGTTTTTTATTTAACTATATATATATATATATATATATATATATATATATATTATTTGGGTTAATATCATAAAAAGTCATATATATTAGGTTTTTCGCATTAAATCTTAATTTATTTTTCCACTAAGAAAACATCTTACATTTTTTAAATTTGGTCATTTTAACAGATTTACCATTAATCTTCTATTTTAGAAAAAAAAATGAAAAAAAAAACGGAAAAAACCTCAACTTATTTTCTCGAAAAACCATCATGAAACATTTGTTTTTTTTTAAATGTTGTTTCCAATTATCGTTGGCAAAATTGCATGATGCTTAAAGACAGTAGCTGTCTAGCAGTTGAAAACAAATGTCTAGTCTAATGTTTCCAACATAGATAACATGAACGATTAGATTAGATTCCAAACATAGATTGATGTTTGAAGTTGTCTTTCTCTTTGGTTCTTAAAACAATCTAAAAGATATCAAGTCAATTTAGATTGTTGTATATACCTGCTACAATCTCCGATCATCCTTGAAATATATTTTGGTATGTATTTTTCCAACAAATATTATATATAATAGTTTTTCTCTTTGTTTCGAACAAATGAAATGTTTCATTTAGAATTTAATGCTAAAAACCATTAAGACTATTATAAATACCAATAATAAGAACATGAAAATTATAAGTACAAATAAAAAAACTGGTTAAAAAAGAAATAAAATTGAGTTTCAAAGAAAATAACAAGATTATTATGGATCATATCACTTGTACGATTAAAAATGTTTATCTATAGAAACATGAAAACTAAAATTAAATTTCTAAAAAAAATCAAATATAAGATGTTATTTTCAAAAAAAAAAAAAATTGAGAGTTTTCGAAGAAAAAAAAAGTTAATGGTTTAAAAATTGTACATGTGAAAATTGGCTTAAAATTTGTATTTTGATAAAAAAAAATAACAATAAAAAATAATAAATAAATCTTTAGTTCTATCCTTCGGTAGTTATCCATTGATCTTGTGTGTGTACCAATTAAATACAATAAAAAGTAAATAATTTAACAAAGTAAAATAAAAATAAAAATTATTTATAAAACCATTTTGTGTCATTAACCCAAAAAGGTATCCAGACTTATCATTATAACAAACATATATACTTGAACATTTTTTGGAAGTGATTCCTTGTTGAGATAGCTTTTGCTTGACGAAAGCCTTTGATTTTTCTTTAGTGTGACTATGTATTGGTTTGTGTCTGGTTTAGTACTTTTTTATGGATTCGTTCCCCATCGCGTCGTTAATAAAACTTAGTCTTCACCATATGATGACAAAATTCTAACAAGTTGCATGTTACTTACTTTATCATTTTGGCAACATATATTCACGATGATTGGACCAACATTCTTGAATAAATCTCAATTTTTTTTTTTTGGTCAAAGTTTGATTTTATTTCATCAAATTTGCCGCAAAATTGGTATTTTGCCTTCTTTTAGTCTCGGTTGAGTTTTGAAGGTTAAAAGTATTTTGAAATTCGTAGTAAATTACGGATTTTGAAAACTCGATTTCACTAATAATAATCAAGTTTTTCATTATTCTTTATTTTATTTTTATTGCTAATACCGGTTATATTATTATGTTAAGGAGTTCTAGATAACATCGTTGAAGAGTAATCAAGTTTTATAGTTATCTCATATATATGTTTTGTGATGGGAGCTAATAGTTAAGGGGAAAAAATTTGTATAAGAAATCAATGGTTCAAATCATGACACGTTTAAAATATTGTTATTACATTGTGATTAACGTTCTCATGTGAGCTTTAAGGAGGGTTTTATATAAACTGCTCCCATAATTCGATTTATCATTTTTTTTATATGTCATTTATTTTTTTTATTTTTTTGATAAAAATAAATCAAACAAATTCATAATAATCAAATAAAATTAATATTTAAGTGTTTAAACCTCTTAAGAAAGTTTAACTGGCCTAGAAAAAATAATAAAATAAAAATTGGATTCCTAGTTAATGATATTAAATATTAACCCATTTTTAAAAACAAAATATTTTGTAAACATTTTTAGAATATTTGGGCTTTCGCTCTCTTTAGGTGCCCAATAAAAAGAAACAAATGGTGAAGACCTATTGACCTAACTAATTCATATCGTTAAGAAATTGAGCCAAACATACAACAATAATTGTTTATTTATAGACTACTTACCTATGTTTGCTTTGGAATTTCAGTGTCTATTTATGGTTCACATATTAGTATATGAGTAAAACATAAGAGTCTAAATTGTAATGTGCCCCTACTTGGACCAAGTCCTAGCTTATATTGAAATTTTATTTTATTTTGTGGTCCGCATCAATCTAGCTAGAACATATATACAAATAATATATAATTAGAGGATTTTTAATATGTCTTTTAGTGATTCTGATAAAAAGTTGGATTTGACTTCGTCAGATTCAAGCAGTTTGATATCATAATTAGAAGCATTTGATATAGTCATATAACATCTAATATGTTTTTAGTGTATCAGATACAATCAACAACTATCAAACAGAGAACACCATTTATTTTGTTTTTGCTAGACTAAAACAATAATAATTTGTTCTATAATAAAAGAAAAGCTAATTGTATATCATGTTTGCAACAAAATAAATTCTTATGTGCTTAACTAAAGTATAACTCTCCTTGAATATAAACTTTTCAGAAAATACTATATTTTTTTTGGAAAATACAACATTTTGATTTATCATGTAATTGTAAAATACTTTAATGAAAGTTACATTAGTAAAATGCCTCTTATTAAATAATATGTGTCAAAATATTTTGTATTGATTGTTGACAAAATATATAGTCATAAATATAATGTTAAAAATGATAAAAATATAAAATATTGTGTTTTTTTTTTCTAGGTTAAAGGAATAAAGGAAAAAACTAACGAGAAAAGGCATGTTACAAGGACAATGCTTTGTTGACGTTGGAATATCAACTTTCCATTTTTGTTGACGTTTTCATAGATACCCCCCCCCCCTTGATTTTTTTTTGTTAGAAATAGCCCCTATACTTTAATTTTATACATATTATGTCGAAAAATATAAAATTTTGGCTATGCCCACCCCCCCTCCCCCCAAATCAAATGTTGAAGCTCCGCCCCTGTTTCTATTGCTAACCCCCCCACTTGTTTCTATTGCTAACCCTTGTATGGTGCATGATGGTTCACATGATACAACAAGTTTTGAGCTATAAAGTGTATAAGGATGCTAGGTTCTAACTTAGATACGTTCTTACTTAACCATTAAACTTTGGAGAGAGGATAACTAATTAGTCCTTTAAGAGATGAAGGAAATAGAGAAGAGTACATATAAGGCTTGGGATTCGGCAAGAGAATCTCATGCATTGCATCATTATATACAATGTTAACTTTTGAATGCAAGTTTTATGTCAATGTATTTTTATTTTAGGAAACGTTATTCCTAAAGAGTTTAAAAGAGTTTTGAGATGAACAACAATTTATTTTATAATATACAAATGGGTGTTGGTCTATATATTATTTTTTGAGATTCTAACTCATGTGTAATTTTGTAGGATTAGAACTCGACCTAACATACTATTTTTGCATGTACTCAAGTGCACTAGAGCGGGTTGAGAAGAGGAGATAGTCACACACACACATATACACAATAAAGACCATATGTTTTGGGCTTGAGATAACTTACACTTATTTTGAAAAATAATTGTCTCTTATCTTAATTGTGTTATTACCTTGTATTCCTTTAAACAAAAAACTGTTTTAAAAGCTTATGATGAATTGGGATTTTTGTTTTTAATCAAATATGTGTTTAATCTTTAAAGACACGTTTAAATGTTATTTCAAATTATGGTTGTTACAATCAGATAAACACTTGTTAGAAGACTTTTGGGGTGGAAGAAGGCTCTAAATGACACTTTTTCGGTTTGTAAAAACAAAGTAGTATACAATTAATTTTCTCAAACAAAAAGGCAAGCAATAATGTAGAAAATAAAGTGTAAGAAAAGAGAAAACAAACTTGAGTATAAACCATTTTACCAAAATTGATATGTTCACTTTGCTCGAGCCCACTCGAGACACTGATGTACTATAAAAATCTTTTCACGGTTGAACTCAAGCATTGTATAATAAGTGGTTGTTATTCTCTTTCCTTAAGTAAGTGGCAAGTGGATTGATATTTCATGCCAAACTAGCCACTTATGAAAATAAGAATAAATAATAGATGGATAATCAATGATTCTTGGACGAGAGTTTCACATTTATGGAGCTGTGGTTATTGGTTATAGAAATAAGATGTGCTTACTTCTTAATAAACTCAATAGAAAGTATTGTTCCACGTGAAGGTCGAAGGAGAATGCCTTCAATTCAATTAGAAAAGAGTTTTGAAACTTTGTACACACTACAAACGTCGACTTAATACTTTTTCTACAGTTTCTTAGTTTTTGACCAATTGCAATATAGTGTGATTGAATAATTAACGATGTGGATGTACGAATTAGATAAAACTTGTAATTTAATGCCAATTGACAAGATAAGGTTCTAAAAAAGGAAATGATATTTCCGGTTTATGTTTTCAATTTTATATTAAAACTCAATTTTTGTTTTTTAATACTCATTTCATCGAAAGTGTTTGGCGATTACTATTATAATTTCCAAAACTTCATGGT